TTATACTGACCATAATCCATTAACTTTCCTTCAAAAGATGACTAACAAAAATCAAAGACTTATAAGATGGAGTCTTCTCCTGCAAGAATATGATATTATTATAAAACACATTAAAGGAAGGAACAATGTTATTGCAGATGCTTTATCTAGAGCATAACTTAAAAAAAAAAAAAAAAAAAAAAAAAAAAAATTTGATATTATGACTTATTCTTTACAAAAAAAAAATAAAAAATACACTGATATTGTCTTATAAAAGTTTTTCATTCAAATTTCAAAACTTTTACTTTGAAGGGGGGGAAGTGTTACGAGGATGCATTTCTATAAAAGGGATTCCTTTGAGTTCTACTTGTTATTACAAAAAGTTTTCATTCATGAATTAGTTGTAAAATAGTGAAATTAGAAATAGAATGTTTGGAAGATTCTAGATCATTCTAGTATATTCGAGAAAAATCTAGATGATTCGAGAAACATCTAGAAAAATGCAAATTAGGTGTTAGCCCCTATAAAAATGGGATTTTGGAAAAGGGTTGTCAGTTGGTGAAAACAGATTGCTGTCAGTATCAACTCCGGCTTTTGATTCAAGGACTATTATATCCAGCCGAAAGAATCTCTATAAAAAGTTGCCGACCAACCAAAACCCAAAAGAGAATTTCATGGAACAAAGTTGGTAAATAGAATTTTGACTAATTTTCATTGACCAAACTAAAATTAATATTTATTTACACACCTTTGTGGATTTCCAAATATAGCACTTAGATTACTTCACTAGCCCTAAAGTGATTTAAAGATATTTGACTCCTTTCCTTCTCCCTCATAACACTTGCCAGTAACTCTGTTTTCTGTTTTGTAGGCCACAATTGTTTATCTTGTATATATTTTATGTTCTGTTTTAGTAAATTAAATATTTGTTTGTGATTTAGCTCTGTCCACAATAAAAAAAAGTCTGGTGGTGTTGGGTCTGGTGATCGTGATGGCTACAATTGCTCCACGTTATCCTATCTACCCTCAGTTTGTGTAGTTAGTCTCTTCTGTTTTTGGAAGACAGATTAGTCGCCGTTCACTTCAGTTTCAATTCAGAGTTATTTATTCTCCAGTTAGCTCGAATTTACCACAAGGCCTATAACGTTGGGTGGTCTGTCCTGCTATTCACCCGTAGCTTGAGAGAGATGGATTCATACCTCCCCCAGTGGTATTTGCGAGTAAATGAATGTAACTGGAATTCGAACTTGGCTCTAGTTCCTCAATCCGAACCATATCCACCGTGCCGTAGCTTTAAGAACGTATTTTTGTTCTAAATTACTTTGTTACAACTGGTTACTTTCTACAATTTTTTTAATTTCTTGGTTCATTAATAGCCATTTTGAAATCGAACAGCAATAAAGTCAATTCAAAATACCCTTAAGTTTGGGAATTATTTTAATCCATTTGAATGGAATTGACCAAACAGAACCTTGAATAAAAACTTTTGGGTCTGCCGTATTATAAGTTTTAACAAATGTAATGTATTTATACTAGTTTGGTAACAGTCCTTCGCCCACGGTACGGTTAGTATTTAAATGGGGAACCACTTGAGAGCACCGGGTATTGTGCAACCTTCTAAAATCCGAAATACGTTTCGGCTTTCAATAACTCACAAAGGGTTGATAAGCCGTAAAAATTGAATCATTTTGATTGTTTGCCGTCGTTAACGGCCAAAAAACACATCAACCGAAGATTGTAATCAAATTTCAAATCTAAATTGTTTTCCATTTAAAATACTATATATTGGACCCTCTATTTATTTGGAAATACAGGATTGGCGAAATAACCCCAACATAATGGCAAGATAGTAAAAGATATTTCTGGGGGAGTATATGTGATGGGATTTTTTATTACACTTTATATGTTAGTTTTAATTCAGAAGAAATCATAAAAATGACAGATGGCCGCACATTTTTGGCTTATACTCTTTTCCTTTTACCCAGGGGTTGTTGCCAAACTGAAGGAAATTAGTCCATTAGTGTCCATTTTCAGTTTCATCCAAAATTTGTGCACATGTATTTTAATTCAATGACAGATGTAAAATATTTCTACAAAATTTAAAAAAAAACGAAATTCTATTTCTTATCAAATAATTTCCGAAAAGTCCTAGAAAATCTAATAATTACACTGGTCAACAAAAAAAAAAAAAAAAAAAAAATGAAATGGTGTCGAGACACCAAACATCTTTTGTAGCTAATTTGAGGGCACTGAATCTGAAAATGATCTTACTTTTTCTTGGGTAGCTACCGTTTTTGCTGTACAGAAATACCACATTTTTGGGAAAGAATATTTTCATTTGTTTTTTGTATATATGATATTGACCGATGACAATATGTCTCAAAATAAAATCGTAGAAACCTCTCAATTCTTATTTAAACCATCAAATATTAGTCTGCTTATTAAGAAATAGTATTTTCACAACAATCAGACCCTAAGTCTTTGTAAATAACACGATTGAATAAACCGATTCGTATTTTCATCAAATCATTTAATAAGCTAACAGCAAAACCTTTGTGAACATACAAACTATGATAAATATTTTCTCTTTCTTGATTGTCATGCTCAATGTTTTGCAGTATCTCGTTCAATGGAATAGGTGCATTCAATTGGGATGTCTTTAGTTGGAGTTCCTTTCTAACTGTGAAAACAAAACGCTCTCAATGAACCAATGTTTCCATCCGTAGTGATGAGATAAATTTATGAATATCAAACAGAAGATTTTTAGGGTTTTATTTTTTTGATGTCACCTTAATTATCAGGTTTACTAAAATCTACTACTGATAAAGTTTATCAGTTAATTTGAATTTTGGCGATAAATTGGAAAACATCGTTACTTCTATTTTAAAGTCTTTGACTCAAAAACGCATTTTTCTTAAAAAAATAGTTTATTTCAGGTGGCTGACATAAATTGCTTGGCCTACCTGGAAATTGATAGGTTTCTACGACCTTTATTAACTAAATTTTGTGATCAGTCAGGAATTGTAATCGTAAATTGATTTTTTTCAAAAAATGAGCAATTTCAATATAGCAAAAATGGTAGCTAACCATGAAAAACGAAGTTCATTTTCGGAATCAGCATCATCAAATTGGCTAAAAACGTGTTTTTTTCTTGGCACCAAAAATTGTGTTAACCAATATTATCTGATTTTTTTTAAGTGTTTAAAATTATATTTTGTCTCCAGTTTTATGTTTTTATGATTCATCTCAGGATAGGATTTGTCCAGATTGAATGGAACGGTAATGTTTTATTCATATGTCTTACTTCAAACTATGTTTATATAGTTTTGCTTGAGCAAATATTAAATAAAAGAATCACATTAAGTCATTCACGCAGAAGAGGAACATACGCATATACATTACATATGTAAGAATGATTCCAAAATAGACATTGCATTCAATTCAGTCCAGGTAATAGGGAAGCCGGGTGTATAATGGAGTTCCAACGACCAGTACGGGAATTACGTCACCTTATACACTGCATCCGGTTCATAAATTTTTTTTCTTTATATATGTAGTTATATAAATAACAGCCTTAGGATCTCGAGACAGTCTCTCACACATCGCTTTCGGAGAATGTAAGGTCCACGAATCGGACCAAGGACGGAGGTGGGTGGTACTCGCACTATAGACTGGCCCAGAGTAAATGACAAAATATTGGAATGAATAAAATGTTATGAAGATTCAAGTCTCGTGTTATCTTTTAATCGGTACTTCATTTCATTACAAAACGTCACTATCTCACTATCTCATTCTATTATCTATCTATCTATCTATCTATCTATCTCAGCATGTTCACATCTATCTAATTCTGTTCATCTCTCTCTCCCTCTCTTTACCTATCTATGTCATTCTGATCATTACTATCTATCTCAACCTGTTCACATCTATCTATCTATCTATCTATCTATCTATCTATCTATCTATCTATCTATCTCTACACGCTGGCGGTATATCACAGACTGGCTGAGAGTAACTGACGAAATATCGGTGTTAAAATCTCTATCTATAAAAGGCAGGATGTGTGTGCGTGCGTGTGTAACGAATGCGTGGCCGCAAGTTTCGACAGATTTGAGCCAAAATTTACATGCACATGCTCCAAGTTAGAGGGAAGGCCAAGACCGACTTTGCATTTCCCAACTCCCATCGATAGTGGAAATAATCGATTTTTTCATGCTTCTACGGCAGTTTTCATGTAGTTTGTGGCCATTTTGTACTGGCCGGAGTGGGAGCCAACAGCTGGCTGCCACAAATAGGCAGAAAGATTCTATTGGCCAGCGTGAGTGCCAACAGCTGACTGACACGAATGTTAACTAGCATGTTAGCATGCAAAAAAAATCGATAGCTGCATTCGTCACAAGTGGGAAAAAATTAAATCTGCACGACACTTTACTCCAATTGGCTCATTCGCTTGCTTAAACTCAACGTTGATTCTGATTCCGCAGAACTGGGTTGGGTGTGAAAAAAGTATTTGTTGTTAACATTCTTTTTTTTCATTCGGTTTTTCCAGTTACGAGTCCTTTTTAAAGCTGATCGTTTTGTGTTCATTTTGTTTAGTTCTTTTTTCGTAACCGATTTAATGTTTAGTATTAGAGCTTAGAAAAAAATCGCAGTGAGGGATAGGCAAGAAGTAAGGCATGTAGCAACATCAGCACGGCAAAGGGCACTCCTTTAAAGGCAAGGAAGGGTAAAAATATTTTAAATCAAGTGATAGCTGTATGAGTCGTGCGATTTTTGAATCAAGCACGGGCAACGCCGGGCCATGTTGCTAGTGTTAAATTATAAAGATTCAAGTCTCGTTTTATTTATTTAGTTTATCCACTTCAATGCATATACGCACATGAAAATTCACGCACAGATCATGCGTAACGGACAGAGAATCAGCTTTTCTTTTTGTAATATAGATTGATTTGTTTTTTACATCTTATCAACCCTTCGACTGTTATTTAAAACCGAAATATATTCCGGACTGTAGAATGTCGCATACAGTACGCGGTGTTCCCAAGCGGTCCCCCATCTAAGTACTGAGCGGGACTGACGCTGCTTAACTTCCATGATCGAACGGAAACCGGTGTTTTCAGTGTGACTTAACCGTAATCATATAATATAGACTTTCCAAAGGTAATTTGTTAATGCTGCATAAAAAATACTGTCCCGCAGTGACCCGCCATTTTTATTAGGTCTTTAGCTAATCTCCTCTCGCTCGTAAAACTTCCAATTTGACATTTCCGAAGAAGACATTTCCAAGTTTAGGGATTTCCGATTCTATCAGAGGCTGGCTAATTGCGATTGGCGTTGTATGCTGAATAACAAAGATAGAGTGAGAGGGAGGAAGGGAGAGAGAGAGAGAGAAAGGCATAGATAGATATGTAGGTTGGTAGGTAGGGTAGGTAGGTAGAGAGAGAGAGAGAGAGAGAGAGAGAGAGAGAGAGAAAAGAGAAATTCCACTTTCTATCCGGTTTTGCTTTTTCTTTCTTTTTTTTTTACCTGGAAATTGTGCTAAACTATCAGGCTGGGTTTTGATCATAATTTACGAGAAACAAAACGTGCGTCTGTATTTTAGGGCAAAGGCAGTAACCAGAGGTCAATTCGTGAATAACTTTTATCATTTGAAATATTTTTCTCATGTATGAATTGTTCGTGCTGTTACCATCTTTCTTGTTTTGATTACAATCTTTTGGCTGATGCGTTTTTGGCCTTTTTAATCGGCAATTTTATATATTGCTTCTTTTACATAGTATTACTTTTGCTAAATTCAATATTTGAATTATTATTGCTATCTTTGTTTTCAAATCTCAAACTTGCGGCTGGTGTGCTCTCCGTCCTTCCTAATATTATTTTTTATTATTATTAATAACAGTAACTATTAGCTGGCGAGATGAAACTAGATGGGGGATGAGGGGAGGAAAAAAGAAAAAAAGGAAAACCTAATTTCTTCCAAGTATCCGATGATGGGGTATCCACACACACAAAAAAAGAAATCCCCCGTAAATAATTTAAATAGAGTTTACACCATTGTGATTGGCTGTTGGTTAACTTCCAATCAAATGCGTGATAGCGGGTTATGGTTTATAATATAAGTCAGTGTCCGCAGGCTGTTAATTTAGAGGGCGGGTCAGAGGCTGATCAGTTCTGATGGAGTCGACTTGAGGGCAGCATGATATTTTAAAGACCCGAAACTGCCCAATGATCCAAATCAGAATATCACTGACGATGCCCTCTAGCGTTAAAGAGCGTATATTCAAAGTATTATTTGAATCTCTGAGATGATGTACAATCATTATTTCATGAATTATTAGGACCCGTATTCTCTTATTTTTCTTTTAACTAACCTCCATACTACATTAATAAAAATTTCTTTCTGATTCAACAGTGCATTTCACTAGACATGTGGGCCGAATGTGAACGCCAAGACAAGTTGTCTTCTGCGCTGGGGCTACGAGTATTACATCCTGTCCACAAAACAAATCTCCGCCAAAATCTTAAATAGTCAATCACGAACGTTTTCCTCCCCACCCCACCCTTCAAGAAGATGATGAGCCTGGGAGCCTGCATATATTATACCACAGATATAAAAATGCATGACTCGCCGACAACAGGCAATTTGGCTCAAGACGTTGACGTTGTCACCCGACCGTCGGTCCAATCACTTACCTCACTGGTGTCGAATTCAACTTTGAAATAGATGGATTGACACCACCAACCACAATCGACTCGTGAATCAGGCGGCTTTACTAATCCACTCCAGGCCTCCCACTTGACACCAACTGTGACCTCGGCCAGCCGACCCGCTACTCGAACCCGGTATTACCAACAACACCCCTGCACTTAAACGCTTCCCTTACCAACGGCAACTAAAGAGCCACATATCAACAATTTTGTTACCCTTTCACACAATTGGAGCTCTCGCAATACATCTCGAGATTCTTGACAAAATCCAAAGAAGAATCTGTAATGTAATCGATCATGACCAGGCATCTTGACTTATTTTCTCTATATTTCCCTACTCTATATTTAGTTGGCGTGAGTTTTAAGCGTATCTGATATATTCGAAGGCACAGTTTAATTTAGATGTTGGGTGTACATGAGGTAGGAAATTATTTTCCCTACCCTCTATTTAGTTGCTGCGAGTTTTAAGCGTATCAAATATATTCGGAGGCATAGATTAATTTAGATTTTGGGTGGGCAACAGGTAGGAAATTATTTTCCCTACGCTCTATTCAGTTGGCGTGAGTTAAGCATATCTGATATATTCGGGAGGACAGCTGAATTTAGATTTTGGGTGAACATCAGGCAGGGAATTATTTTTCCTACGCTATATTTAGTTGGCGTTAGTTTTAAGCGCATCAGATATATTTGGAGAAACAGTTTCATTTAGATTTTGGGTGGACATCAAGTAGCAAATTATTTTCTTTACGCTCTATTTAGAAGGATGCTAAGGATATCATGGTTGCGTGAGCAACGATGAGATCTTAAAGAGGTTGCAAACAAGGAGGAGGCTTATACTTAACATCAGGAAGAGGCAGTTGAAGTTTCTGGGACACATAATGAGGAAGGCGTTTTTCGGCCGGGTTCAGTCTTTCCTTCTTCTTCCTCTTTTTATTTGAGGGTTGCCTTCTCTTTGGTTGAGAGAGAAGTATAGAAAGAGAAGTTTAGAGAAAAAGAGAAAGAAACAGATAAGGTAATTGTCATAACTGAATGTACCTATTCTATTATTAATAGACTCTCCCACACATAATATGTAGTAGTAGTAGTAGCGGTCGCCAGTTGAGCTCAGTGGTGTTGAGTGAGTCAGTCGATGTCGGACATTGAAGTATCAACCATCACAACTAGATTGCTGCGTCATTAACTCTTATTTCAAGTTCTTAACGTTTTGTACGTCGAACCTAATTGAGGACGACATTGAAATACAAGCCTCCATTGTGAAAACTACTCTACAACAGTAATGTAGAGCGCAAATGCATTAATTTTTAAAATTTTTGTTTATATATTTTCTTTTTACTGGGACTTACTAAACTTTTTTTCTATCTCACAGTGTATTTATTATTAAACTAAAGCATTCCATGCAAAATATACAGTGCAATCTCGGTTCTCGAACGTTTCACACGTCGAACAAATCGGTTTTCGAACAGAAAATTCGAGATGAAAATGCCTCGGTTATTTAACAAACTTTCTCGAACATTGTCGAACCGAGTGAACCCAAACGGAATAATTTCTGAGTCGACCGCCGTGTGTTGTCTTTTTTTTCCCAATTTTATTGTACTGTGACTTTTTTCTCTACATTGATTCCTATTGGAAAAATAGTTTCGGGTTACGAACTGCCTTCAGGAACGAATTGAACTCGTGAACCGAGGTTCCATTGTATTTCAATTCAAAATAAGACCGGAAATGCAGATATCAAAATTATTCCTGGTAACTAATTAATTTTATACGCTATGTCACTTCAAATATCTTAATTGTATCAAAATCATTTTTAAGGCTTTGTTGTTGTATCGTGTTATTCAGAAAATAAGGTAACGTTTTAAAAAAACTTTTTTTTTCAGCATTGAACAATAGAAACTAATTTCCTAGATCAACAAGCAACTTTCTTGTTCCATTGCAAATCTAGAGTTATACTTTTTACTAATCTTTATACGTACGTTTTCTATGCATCGATGAGTTTATATATTTTTCCGCAAGTATCAATTTTCTACCGGATGCCTGCTCTTACAAGGAGAGGCGGTGATTTGACCAATCAGGTTTCATGGAACGTGCTAGACCTTTCTAAAATCTTCGAATGTGTAACTTCGTGATCTGATTGGCTGACTTTGAATCCCAAGGTCACATCTAACGTAAAAGCTGAATTGTTTATTGCCGTTGGTTCAATACAGATCTGGCTTGCACAAAAAAAAAAAAGAAAAAAAGAAAAAAGGAAAAGAATTGTCGTCTGCATTTAGAAGTGGCCTGCAGGCGAGCGTTCGTGCGTTAATCAGAAACTGCGTTCTTCTCTCGTTGAGAAAAATGAGAGGAAACAAACTCTGTGTCAACACAATAACGTTATTTAATTTTTTTTCCTATTTTAAAAAAGGACATTTATAGGTTGTAGATATGGGTGCTAATCAATAATCTGTATATTTCTGTATTAATTACAGAACAACAACAACTTTGGTGCGAAGCTAGATACTGACACAACCATTGACTATTCAACTTTACTAAAAGGAAACGACAAGCAAAACTTAGACAATAGCCATCATTCTACGATACATTGTATTTACATACGTACAACGCTATTATCACATGTGCAATGTCCTTTCCATTAACGAGAGTAACGATAAAAGAACAGGAATTAAGAAGAGAGAAGATAACGATTGACATTGCATTTAAATTTTTCAAGTTCAAAGCTGATTGAAAGGCAAGAAACCGGAAGTAGCGAGAAGTGCGACAGAAGAAACTGTTAGCGTATAACTTACGGTTACGTCTAGCTATTTCAACTGCAAATTGACGAGGCCTTGCTGCTAATCTAGCACTTTATAAAGTTTAAGTATCAAAGAAAAAAACTCATCATTACCATGAAAACATTTACAGAAAAGGCAAATGGAAGATACATTAAAGCGATAGAAAATAACGCCAAAATGCTAATCAGAACAGATATTACAGATTCTACTTTGTATTTTATCAAGAATCTCTAAATACATAGCAGATACCAGACCAGATGTAACAGTAATATACAATGAATGGACAAATGGTAGATTTATAAATATCTAAGATAGATTCTGACGAGAAAAATTGTCTAGCACGACACAGTGACCTGGTAACAACAGCAGTTAAGAGGTAGTTCCACGCTCTTCTAAACTTCCAATCTTACGATCAGAAGCCTTGCTGCCGGATGTAGTTTATCGTCGTATCCGTGACTATTAATCAAATGAATAAATTAGAAACAAATCACATCCAGCAATGTGTGTTAATCACGCTGTCATCAGTGAAAATATTATACCAACATTTCAATTTTTTAAATTATTCAAGAAATCTTTTCTCTAAAGAAAATAAAATCAACATTTCCCCATTTCTATGACAGATGATTTTGTTGGGACGGACAGCAAATCAGTTCAGCAGATAT